AACATTGTAAAAGGCATTAGTGGCAATTTTTACCATTTATTGTACTAAGATCCATTTAGAACAGCAATTGCTCTCCTTTCATATAACACTTGAAGTTTGGATATTAACCATCAGTAATAGGCAACCATAAGCTACAAGGCTTTAGATAAGGTGTACAACGAAGATCAAGTCTTATCTGCATTGTAGGACTTCAAAGGAGTAATACCCTGTTTCCCTGAAAATAAGACCTCCCCGGATAATAAGCCCAATCAGGCTTTTGAGTGCATCTATTAAAATAAGCCCTTCCCTGAAAATAAGCCCTCCCCTAAAATATTTAAACACATGAGCAGCCGGTCCCTGCCATTTCCTGGGAGGAGAAGGGGGGAAAACATGCCCCACATGCACCTGCCATCTACGAGGAACGGCCTTGTGGAGGGCACTACCACAAACTCTAGCTACCGTGCCCCTTCTCTTAGTGGCGGGCACAAAAAGAGCAGCAGGTCCAATAATGCTAGGGCTGGCAAGAGTGTGCCAGAAACAGAGACAGAACTTCTGGCTCTCTCTGGATCAGCTGATCTGCGGGCCGTAGGCCAAGTTTAAGGGGCCTCTTGTACCTCAAAAATAAGATCTCCCTGAAAATATTGCAACACAGCAGCAGCCATGAGGTGACCATGCTTGCTGTCTCCTGCACCTCAAAAATAATAAGATCCCCCCAAAATAAGACCAAGTGCTTATTTTTTTTGGGGGGGGGTGTCAAAAGAAAATAAGACCTTGTCTTATTTTGGGGAAAACATGGTACATTCTCAAACCTTTCTAAAACATTGTTAAGTATCAATAGCCAATAATGAAAGGCACACCAAATTTTATTCAAAATTCCAATAAATCAAAGTGAAATAAAAACAAACATTCTACATTGTTTTTAATAATGCAGTATGAAACAACTCTAATGTTATTAAAGTTTAATAAAGACAGCAACTTGGTATTTTTTAACTTGAATCTCCACAAGTATGGAATGCAATGATAAATGGACAGAAGATCAAAGACTCTTAAAACATGTTGAGCAGAGGCCTATCCTTAAGAAACACAAGGGAAGTCTATAATTTTATATTTGGGCAACAGTCATAAACATTTGTCTGTCATTGGCTGACTTGGTTGTAATTATATGCTTATACAGAGTTAAACAGAAATTACAAAGGGAAGTTCTTAATTTCTTGAATAATTATGAAACTTTTTATGAGTTGTGGGTAGCATTTGAGACCTTTTATCTGTATCAGCATAACTTTTCACTTGAATGTAGGCCTGACTGAACACAATTCCAGTAAAATGCAAAGGATTAATATATATCTGGCATTTTCCCATCTGCATTTGTGCAACACATTCCAGGCAATTTTTTTTTCAATCTTGAAGATGTATGGTATTTTTGTCATATATATTTTAAAGATATATGGACAGGGAGCAGAGAAAAAGTATACTCTTTAACATAAATTATCCACTCTACAGTTTCCAAATCCTAATCTGTCCTTATCAACACAAAACAGATTAGGGGGAAAAATCATTTTTATGGTTTCTGGTAGTTTTAGGAAGCACCTAATGCGTATTGTGTCTTAATGTAAGGAAGATTCTCACAGATCAAGTAGCAAAGATCACAGATGATCTTAATAGCCATTCTCCAGTTCAGAGAAAAGAGCTACACATATATTAAAACACCTAATGATCTAAAAAAGCATTGCATGCAACACCATTTTATGAAGAAATCAATATTGTGGGCAGGGATAAGCAATGAAACTGCTTACTTAAATGATACATGGAAGTGTGTGTGTGTGTGTGTCTCTGTGTGTGTTCAAATGCATTTTATAAATCACATAAAGCACTCTAAAGGGACCAAGTCTCAGATGAAGTTAATCCCATAAATGTTAAAATTTGGAGCTCTGAATATTTTAAACTCTCATCCATCTATCAACACTCCACTTTAGCCTAAATCAATAGTGTGTGGAGATACCACATTCTCATTTTTCTCAGTGGAAACTACTAAAGCCACTTTAACTAGTGATTCATATTTCTACAACTCATGACTACAAATTTGTGTTTGTACATTATGCTTGAAGGCGAACTCTTGAAAGGGAAATGAGGTAAAGCAACAGTTAAATAGAGGAGCTTGTCCCAGTGTGGAAGTGCCCATGTGCTGATTCTAGGGTGACACTTGAGGTATGTGTATATTCTTATGAACATTCAGTTCCACTGGAAGCCTAATTTAATTAACTCTATTTGTGTTTGTAAACGTTATCCTTTGAAATGTAGATTAGGTCTGGGTAACCTATTTGGGAGTTTGAAAATTTTGGGGTAAAGGATTTTCCCCGTTTGCTATTTTTATTTGATTAATTTCGTTTTATCTTGACTATCAATCTAGCGGAGACACTGATTCCAGACTATTGTGGATTCTGTTAATGTTCTAAAAAGGAAGATGGTGTAGGACATTGATGTCAAACTGGATTGTGTCACGTGATGTATCTTTTTTTTTTTTTTGCTTTTGTGGCGCCAAGGTGGGCATGGCCTGCATGTGGGCCACCAGTTTGAGACCCATGGTGTAGGAAGAAAGAAAAGATCCACCTGGTTCAGTTCCAAGATGGGAGAAAGGTGCTAGAAATAAAATGGTGGCTGAGTGGAAAGGATTCCATTTATTGATGAACAGATCCACAGCATGCAGTTCTGGGGCAGCTGACAAATTAGCTGGATGAGTGCAAGGATTTTTATAGTTTCTGAAATGCTTCAGGGATTGTGCAATATAATGAGCCTGGTGTCTTTCTTATTCTAATGATGGTGGGTTAATCCTATTATGTCTTTAAAAGGTTATTATGTCCTAAAAGGTCCTGTCCTTAGAATCTGGGTGGGAGAAGGATGTAAATTTTAATCCTATCACTGGAGGTGAAGGTGTTTTGTTTGTGAATAGGCTGGCCCACGATTTCTTAATGGGCATTAGCTGTAGGCGCTTAAGAAAGATTGGGGGCTGCTTTCTGTTTCTCCATTTCATTTGGGGAAATATAATATTTTACCTCTTTTAATATTCCCCAAAATATTTCATTCTCCAGGAGGGCAGGGGGGCTTCCGACAATGGAAACAGCATAAAACTTCTCACAAGGTAAACTGCAGGAACTTCACAGAAAACTACTATAGCTGTAGTTTTCTGTCATTATACTGGTATGGGAATTTTTTTGCTACTGGCTTTGCTTCGAAATGTTATTAAACTTTTAAAAACTTCCCACTCTACCCCGGTCTGTCATCCAAGCACTATCCACAACCGACCCGGCTTAACTTTTCGAGGCCAAAAATCAACCCAATGTAGCTGGTGCAGCGCATAGCCACGCGGCGTTTTTTTATTTGCCCGGGTTCGGACCCGCAGATGTTTGCACGGCACACGTGCGTGGCCATGCTTCCCGGAATCAGGCTTGGCTCAACCCCGTCTCTTGGATTTCACGCCCCAGGAGTCACTGGCTAACCACGCAAGCCCGGCGGGTGAAAAAGCGACCCACAGGGGAGCCGGTGGAGACAGGATCACAGCCTGCAAGGGAGAGCCGGTTTCAGGGGCTCCCCGCGGCCTGGTCCCCAGGGGCTGGGAGGAGCGGCTGGGCGGGCTTCCCCGGCAGGGGTCGCTACGTCGGCACGGCCGGCCTGCTTTCCTCCCTCCGGTGGGCGGGCTGAGTTCTTCCCCGTCCGCCGCCCCACAAGCAGCCGGAGGGCGCCGCGGCAGCCGAAGTGCGATCGATGCCGGGAGCGCGGAGGAGAAGGCGGCGGCGCTGCTGAGAGGGGGGGGCGGCCCCGCCCGGAGATGGGGATTCTCAGCATCACGGACCAGGTATGGCGGGCGTGGGGAGAAGACGCCTCTGCCTGACCCTTTTCCTGGCGCCCAGCTCTGGCCTCCTCCCTCCCTCCCTCCCTCCCTCTCTGCCTCGCTCGCTGGCCCGCCGCGTCCGCTACGCCAGCCGGAGGATGCACGGCCTAGTTGCAGAGCCGCCCACTTGGCTTCAGCAGGAGCAAGGTCTGGCTTCTCCCTCCGGCGTGCAGCGGCTGAGGCCTGGAGATGGAGCTGGGGCCAAGCGAGAGTCGGCAGGGCTGGCCTAATCCCGGCCAGACGCCACACCAACCTCCGAAGAAGGCCGCCGGCGGCGGCGGCGGTGGCCGGGTTGAGAGCCCGGCTGTTTCCCGCCTAAGAAGAAAGAGTTCTTGCCGCCCTTTTCGCCGGCGCGCCTCGCCTGCTTTTCCCGTTCCCCCAGGCAGCCCTTTCCCCCACCGCCTGCCACTGTTTTGGGCCCTCGTTTCTGCCTGCGGACTCTCCTCCTCCTCTCCGTCCCTCTTTCCCTCCTTGCTCCCTTCTCCCCCACTCCGGTTTCTGGAGCGCCAGGACTTCTCCCCAACCTAGGCAAGTCCTCGTCTTAGCAGCGGCCCCCAAAAGGGAGATTTGTTTTTTTGCAAGCCGTGTAATTTTTTTCTCCTAGCATCACACTGGAGGGGAAAAGAGGATTTGGGCCTAGTGGGGCTTAAAGTATTCTGCATTAGTTCTTAAAGATACAGAATCCTTCTCAGCTCGTTTATTTTATCCCTTCCCTTCCCTTCAGGAGCTGGAGGTGGCATATATAGGGGACTGGTGGTGGCATAATAGAGGACTCGCTCCTCCAGTTTCCCCCCTCGGCAATAACCCTCTTGTGTGTTTGTGCATGCGCCCGTGCATCTGCGTGTATTTTGCGTCCAGCAAATTTGTCGTTTTATCCTTATTCTCTCCATCGCTGCATCCCTTCGACTGCTACATTCCTTTTTTTGATACTCTTAGTACTTTGTTCACATGGGTCAGGATACCACTACAAGATTCAAGCTTTTTACTTGTCCCCAAATACATGTTTAAATCAGCGGATGAGGTCAAATAATTTGTTTTTTGGTTAAATATTTAGTCGCACTTTGGGTGAAGCTGTATGATTCAGCCTGTTAGAGAAGTATGTTTTGGTGGCCCTTTCTGTTTGGAACACTTTTGGAAGATACAACTTAACTCTTTTCTTTCTCATTAGGCTGCTGCCATGTTTGTGATTTTCTTGGTACATTACTGGTATAGTTTCCTGTCCCTTTGTTTCTCTCATAATCTGCATTTCTTTTCATTTGCATTTTTCCTGGGAGTTTATTCACATGGTTTCTTCTGCAATATCCATATATCTGTAGCACTTTGGGCTGTGGTAGTACCTGAATGTTAACCATTTCCTTTCATGGTACTTAAATGGAACTCTTTGACTGTCTTTTGTGGGTTCCTTTGAAAGTTATAACTTGTCTAGTTTTTATCATAGTCTTGATTGTATGTAGTCTTCAGTTGTTCATCTTTCAGGATTCAAATGAATCTTCCAAGTAGTATGATTTCATATTCACATCCTATACTACTACTCTTTCTTAATGCAGAAGACCATGGCTTGATTTTAGCTTAACATGTTATGTGAAGGCAGCCATTTATCCACTAAGCTACAAGTCATGTTCATCTTCTCCAGTGTTCTGCTACTTTGTGCATAATAGAAACATTTTAATATCAACCCAGTTTCAGGATCTTTTTCTTGGATGGACATTTTTGCTACAAAGTGGTTTTATTACAGTGTACTGAGTTTTAAGATATGCTTCATATAACTATGTTTTAATTAGGATTGTGATGAAGGGATTTCTTGTCCTGGTTACCAGTGGGTTTAAGGTTCTCCTGACTTGTTTTCCTACATTATATAATGGAAAATATTTAAATGGAATTTTAACAGAAACACATGTAGACCTCTTCATCTAGATAAAAGAAGTTTGATATTCAAAAAAATATAATAGAAGAGACTTGTTTTGGAGTGGTAGTTGAATATATAATAATATGTGACAAATATGAGTCAGCAGTGTGGTACAAAAAGACAGGCGTAATTTTCAGCTGCATCAGTAGAAGTATAATTTCCAAAACACAGAAAATAATGTAATGCTCTCTGCACTTGTCAGACCCAATACTGTGCTTCTGGGAATTACACTAAGAAGGATCAGAGAAGAGTAAACAACATGGTAATGAAGCACGGAACTTAAATCTGACGAAGAATTTAAAGGAAATAAGTATGAGTTGGATTGTTGCACCAGAAGGGCCTTGCTCTGTGTTGTCATCCCAACATGCAGGATACAAAGTAATTGTAATAAAGCTATAACAGATTCAACAGTAAAAAAAAATATGTTCAGGCAATGTTGAGCTCTGTTTGGTGAACGTGTTTAAATAGAGGCTGCATGATCATCTGTGGAGATTGCTTTATATCTGCTGGACTCCTGCAAAGAGGAGGTTGGATTCAGTGTTATAAAGTCCCTTTGAACTTTCTGATTCTACTTCTTTGGATCCCATGGCCCCCAGCAGATGGAAGCAAAGTCTCAGTTTATATCTATCTTGTATGAGTATTGATATTATTTTGTGTCCTGCCTTTCCTGTCCCCAAAATCTGGAAGGCAGCAGGTTATCTACCCTATATGTAGAGATTAGGTATTTCCCTTATATCAGCTAGTTATATTGTGTTTCCTCGAAAATAAGACAGGGTCCTATTTTCTTTTGACCCCTAAAATTAGCACTTTGCCTTATTTTCGGGGAGGTCTTATTATTTTTGAGATGCAGGAGGCGGCGTGTGTGGTCACCTCATGGCTGCTGCTGTGTTGCAATATTTTCAGGGAGGTCTTATTTTTTTGGGAAGGCTTATTTTAGCGCATGCACTCAAAAGCCCAATTGGGCTTATTATTCGGAGAGGTCTTATTTTTGGGGAAACAAGTAGATCATCCTTGACTTACCGCCACAATTGAGACTAATGTTTTTGTTGCTAACAACTGTGTAACAAGGTAGTTGCTGTGAGCTGTGCCTCATTTATGATCTTTTTGCCACAGTTGTTAAGTGAATCACTGCAGTTGTTCAGTGAATCTGGCTTCCTCTATTGGCTTTGATTGTCGGTAGCAGGCTGGGAAGATTACAAATGGTGATCACATGACTCCCAGACAGTGCGGTTGTCTCATATACATGCCATTTTGCCAAGCACCGGAATTTTGATCATGTGACCACGGGGATGCTGCAAAAGTCATAAGTATGAAATATGGTTGTGACGTTTTCAGTACTGTTGTAACTGGTCACTAAATGATTGGTTGTGATGAATACTTGTATACAGTATAGCATTCATGAGGGGCTTTTTATGCACAAACAGAAATATCGCCTCGTCCATTTCTTTGAGCTGGAAGTCAGAAAGTGGCTTTCTAAAACACAGATTGCATTGACTAATAATCTCCACAGTATAATTAGAAAGCGTGTTACAATAATTCTAATTTAGCTACATGCCAATTTTTTTGAGTTAATTTTTAATTCTCAGTCCTGGAAAATCCTAGGTTTCTAAATTATATTGTCATTAGATTCTCCACCCCACCCCACCCCACCCCACCAACATGCACTTTCTGGCTGTCTGGTTTAAAACATCAGTCTAGAGTTTAAAATATTTTATTCCATTAACCTGATTTATATAGATGGAGATTTAATGTGAAGGTTTCAAGGTTTAGCATATCTGATAAAACATATGCATTTAATTTAGATTTTTTTGCGGCCAGCATTTATCTTAAGGACAGTGGGCAGTACATCATACCAGTTGCTCCAGGAACTACATGGCCCAAGATTGTAGGGCATAATGGGCTCTATTATAAAAAGAGACATATTTTTTTAAAAAAATAAGATGAATATTGAGTCCACTGCATTCCATATGGATGACTCATCTTTCCCCCTTTATCCTCCCTCCTTTTGCCATTGTGTCCAAGGACTTGGAGGGAAGTATACCTGAGGTTAGTGGAATTGAAAGATTTTTCTGAAAAGAGATGTAGAAGAGGCTGAAGGTTTTCCTCTGGAAGACGAAATGAACAGATGGGATTAGATCTGCCTTGTACTAGCCTGTGCTGAGCGTGTAGGAGGACCAGGAGGGTATTCAGTACAGTTCTCTGTTGTATATGTTTTTTTCTCTTTTTTGTGTGGAGGATTGAAGTTAGAGGGATGCCAGGAAGATAAGGGAGTTGTCTTGTTTGTGTTCTTTGATTGCATTTCTCTTTGGTGTAGGATATGCATACAGTAAAGTATTTCTTTGTTGTTGTTGATGATGATGATGATTTTTAAATCACCACAGTAACACAACTCTTACCGGTAATGGTGTATAGAGATTATATGCATAACATCATAATGTAACAATTACAAACATTAAAAATATGGTAAACAAACAAACAAACACACACACACACACACACAACCCATTCCCAATAAATTGCATTTTAAAGCCCTCAAGAATAATTTTTCTTTTAGAAGGACAACAACACCTTCCTTCTTGGATGAGACTGTTCCATAATATGAAGCCATTAGTTAAAAAAAACCACAGGTTTCCTGGCAAATACACCGCACCCTCCACCAAAATCAATTGCAACTGAGTGCCAAGCCCTATAGGACTTTATGAGATAAAAGCAGCTCTTTAAACTGCCCCCAGAAATCTATTGCCAACCAACGTATTGCTTGTAGCATAGGTGTAATGTACTCAGGGTATCTAGTGCTGATTAACCTACAGGTGGTTCCATTTTGTACTAGTTGCATTTTGAATGATCTTGGAGGCCTCTTCATACAGTATTGCACCTTGCAGTAATCTAAGCAGGCCATAATTGGGAGCATTATATCACTGATACAGGGCCCTCTTATTCCATATAGGACTACAGTTGGTTCATTAACCAAAGCTGGGCCCAAATGTCCACCTGGTCAGTACTCCCACCTCCCTTTCCATATGTCGTATTTTTCGGAGGATAAGATGCACCTTTGCCCCCCCCCCCAAAGAGGGTGAAAATCTGGGTGCGTCTTATACACGGAATACAGCATTTTTGGAATCTCGAAACTCCGCCCCCTTTGCCAAATGGATGTGCAGGGAGTTTGGGAGGCCTGCAAAGTGCACCTGGGAGCTGGGGAAGGCAAAAATGAGTGGTTTGTATTTTGTCTGTAACAAGTTACACTGAGTGGACATATGTAGCAGTGGTGGGATTCAATTTTTTTAAATATTGTTTCTGTAGCCATGGCTTTGTGGGTGTGGCAGGGGAAGAACACTGCAAAATCCCCATTCCCTCCCCACCCCCCTAACCTCCTTTCCAGCTCTGTTCTCCGGTTGAGGGCAACAAAATAAGATCAGCTGGGAGGCAGCAGGGGCAGGGCCAGCCTATTTGCCGGTTCTCCGAACTACTCAAAATTTCTGCTACCGGTTCTCCAGAATTGGCTGAATACCACCTTTGATCATAGTCATAATAAAATATAAAAGCAACAGGGTTCTGTCTGAGAATAATATTAAAAGATGCTAAACCAGGTATTGTATTTTGAAATCTGTGCACGTCAAGACAATTGAATAATATCTTTAGACCAGTTTTGGGCCATTTCTGAAAATGTTGGCATTTGAAGATTGTCAAGATTATTTAGAAGAAGCAGCTAGAACAGAATCCAGTGTTTTAAGTATTACATATTAGTGGAATTCAACTTGCTATTAAGATGTGTCAATACCCAAAACTAATGTATGAGATACAGGCTGGTGATATCTCAGCCACAAAATTTATAATGCTGTAAGCAGATAGAACTATTCTGCTACCTTTCTGCAGTTTTCGACTATAGAACATAATAACTTACCTTAATTGTCATTGAACAAAAAAGCTTATTGCCTTGCCTGAATTTATTTTGAGAAAGCATAAATGATAAATCTTTACTAGAGGACTGTAGAGGCCTTTTTCTTTGGGCATTTGTCTGAAGCCTAATCAGCATCTAACAGATTTGGCTCTTCATACAGAAACTAAGGTGTGTAAATCCTCATAAATTGCCACAGCTATGTTTTGGATAGGCTACTGACTTTTGGGAAGGTTCCAGACACTCAGTTTTTAAAAATTCCCCCAAGCACTTCATTTTCAAACAACTGTGGTATCTGAAAACCTAGATGTTCTTGTGAACATACCGTATTTTTGGAGTATAAGACGCTCTGAAGTATAAGATGCACCTAATTTTTGGGGAGGAAAACAAAGGGGGAAAAAATTGCCATCTCCCTCCCAGCAATTTGCCTCCTTGCAACAAACAGCAAACAGTACAGAAGATATACACTGTTTGTAGTATTACTTGGCTCTCTTCAGATCAAGCATTTATTTTAAAAAGCTTCTTCATTTTGTTAAGTTGTCTAGAACAATAATAAAGCAGTCTTAAAAAATATAATTATAATTTGAATATTCTATAGGCATTTATAGTTATTGACTTACCTCCTTGCAGCCTGATTAGCACAAGAAAAAAAAATCTGCCTGCCTCCCAGAAATTTGCCTCCTGCAGCAAACATCAAGTTTCACTTTCAATTTCAACAGGGGCCTCTCCATCATCAGCTGTTTCAGGCTGCAGGGATTGCCATAGCCTATTGCTGCCTCCGCAATTCCCATTTTCCCTGTTTGCTGCAAGGAGGTAAATTGCTGGGAGGCAGAGGCCAAAGGGTGGGGGCCGGTGGGTGGGTCTACATTTGGTATATAAGATGTACCCAAATTTTCACCCTCT